ACTGGACAAGAACAACTTAGAGGCTAAGTTTATTTTGGCTCCCAGTTTCAGAGGCTTAGTCCCAAGTTGGTCCAGTTCATTGCTCTGGATCCAAGGTGAGGCAGAATATCATGGCAGAACGGTGTGCAGAGGACTGCTGCTTACCACTTGGTAAGGAAGCAGAAGGCAGGGAAGGGGCTGCAGGGGGGATGTACCCTTCCAGGTTACTCCCCCAGTGACCTACCTCCATCTGCCTATAGTGACCACCGAGTTGGTTCATTCAAAGTAGGATGGGCTGGTTAGGTGATAGCTCTAACAACTGAACAATTTCACCTCCAAACATTTCTGCATTAACACAGGAACTTTTGGGGGTTGCCTCATAACCAAACCATATTTTCAGGACTTGGAGATATTTGTGAAATATCACTGAATTCCAACATCCTGGATGCCTGGAATGTGTTTAGGAACAGGGCAGTGGGCTCTGAGCAGAAGCCTGGGGCGGGAACCTTTAAAGCGGTGAAGGTTGGGCCCCCTGTCCTGGGTCTGAGGACCATATGGAGAAGCCAGTGTCTCAGGCAAAGGGCGTGGTCTGACCCAAGACTGTGTGGGGCAGCGATAGCAGCACTATCAGGCCTCTGAGGCCCAACTTCTGGCCCCATCTGGCTATCAGAACTCGGGTAATGGCAGACAGGAAGCAGCAACCCTAAGATTCAGCCATATACTCATGGGACAAGAAGCAGAGACCTTTTTTCATAGGTCTTTGGTTTTGAAAGGAAGTGCCTCTGAGAAATTCTTAGCATAATTCTGCGTCTATGTCTGGACAGAAAATGGCTGTATCTACCTCATGTATGCCACCCTGAGCCCTGCAAGGTGGGATTCATCTTAAAGAAGCCACCTAGGTGCAAATGCCACTTTCCTAGTCCTCTTATCTTGGAAATTGTGGGCCAACAAGCAAGTCTGTTGAAGGTTCAAAGAAATTGAGAGTCTCGGGGAGGATGAAGATATTGCAGCAAGGGGCTGAGTCTTCCTCAGAGAGAATCCCTCAGGCAGTCAGCTGACTGTCTTAGCTCTGAGCTAAGCTACAAGGTCTGACAGCCTGTGGCGGGGGGGCTGATTCTACTGCTGAGCAGTCACGGGGAATTGTGCCGGGGAAGACGTCCTTAGAAACAAGAGAAGGTGAAGGCTCCCCTGCCAGGCCCTGAGCCCTCAGTGCCCCCCCAAATAACTGTCTAGGACTAGTCAGCCTCTCCAGGATGACCTGGGCCTCTGGGTCCTTTTTAGGGTGTAGTCCTCTGCCGCAGTCTGGCTGGGCACAAATCACGAGCCACTGAAGCAGGAACAAACTTTATTTCTGAGCTCCACCAGCACACTCCACACACGCTCCCCGGGAACTCTCCCGAACGCCACCCATGCGGCCTTCTCTCCAGACACACCACACACCAACCGGAAATCCCGCCTCCGGCATTTCCCCAACCAATGAGAACTCTCGGGGAATCCCTGCAAGAATTCCAAAGTAGCAGGCCGAGGCGGACAGCAGGGGTCTAATATACACAGCTTAACATAACCATTATCATCTCAATGGCTTGCTGGTGTCACCTCTCAACCACTCTGTTCTGGCAAAAATGCCATGCATCATTCATTTGGACTTGGCTATGGCTCTCAGCAGTCCTCAAAACTCCCCCATCATCCCGTCACCTGGGAATTCACAGAACTTCAGAGTCATCTCAGATCTGACATTTCAGAACCTGCATTTAACAACATCCTCAGGTGATCATGGGCCCAACTAGGCATGAGAAGGGCTCATTGGTGGGCTGGATATTGTCCCAATCACTCAGGAGGGGTGGGCCTTAGGATTCAGATGAACTGGTGCTTTTCAGATAGCAGGAGTTAACTAACCACGTCTTCATAACCCTATTGTCATTCACCCAATAAGCTCCCAGTTCTCTCCTTCTTCCAGGGGAATTTCCAGCTTCTTGTTTCTGGGTCAGGTATTTGGTTTCTATTGAGCTTTTTGAATATTTCAGGGCTTGGGGTAGTCTTCTATTTTCTACTACAACTTCCAGTTGTGCAGTGGATTTTCATGTGTAAGATCCATATCAGTAGCATGAGCATCACCTGGGGATTTGTTAGAAATGCAGATCATCAGGCCCCAGCCCAGTACTTGGGAATCAGAAGCTCTGGAGGTGGGGCCCAACCCTCTGTGCTTAGTAAGCTCAACAAGGGCTTCTGATGCAGGTTCCAGGGTGGGAACCCCAGAGCTTTGTTGCATGGTAGTCCATGGGTCCCGCACAACATGATTAAGGAGCTTGCTAGAATTGCAGAATACTGGGTCCCAGACCAGACCTGTGAGTAGGGAACCTACCTGCAGTTTCACTTGCATGTTTGGGTTCAAGGAGCCCTGCTCCAGGGCAAGAACAGAGGGTAATGTAAGGTCCTTGCTAGCATCTGGACAGCCACCTTAATAGCTGCCATTTTAAGAAAAGTTTCACTTTCCTGCGCAAAGGCGTTTCTGAGAAAGGCTCACCACTCCTTCATACCAACCCCACACTTCACCGCCTGCATTAGGACCTCCCCCAAAAAAGTCAAAGAACCCAAGCCTGTATTGCCTCCCTTTGTCTATGGAGAGATGTGCCTTTATTTGTCACCTCTGACAAATAAACTCTCGGTGTATCTCTGCGTGGTAGTCTCCGTCTTTCATTTCTCACTCGCCCATCTCCGATTCCTTGCTTCCCTTTCAGGTAAGTTCTACCCAAGCATCTGGAGCAGGTGTGGCTTCCAAGAACAGGGGCAGGAGTCACAGGAGGCGGGCAAAGAATGACCATAATGCAGGATGAGCTGAGTCCTAGCAGAAAAGTTCTAGGAGTCAGACAGGAAGGGAGCTTGTTGAGTGGAAATGAATCATTGCATGCTCAGATCAACGGGCAAGGTCAGGCCCTGGATCTGGAGACGCTTGGGTTCTGGATTAAGGCTCTCACTGAATTTCCCTCCAAAGGCAGAGGACACCTCTTTGGTCTCATCCCTAGACAGGGATGTGGGAAAACAAAGGCAGGATTTGGCAGAACCCTCGCTGGGGGTAGACTCAGTTTAGTTTATTTAAAAATTTTTGTTTACTTTGTAAAATAAACTTTCCATTTGAAACAGTCTCAGGAGTCAGAGATGACAGGAAGAAAACCTGAGGTCCTGAGAAATAAATTCCTGTGCTCTGGATAACTTCATTCTTCTCCGTGGGCTAGTTTTGAGAAATTAGTATTGTCAGATAATGAATTTATTTAAAAAAATTTTTTGAAGGAAAATAGCAAAAATGATAGAAAATAGTTCTGACAATTTCTGTTAAGGATTAGCTTTGCGGTGGCCCATTTGTGAGTAGTGCTTTTGAGGTTTCCTGTTTTCTTTGATTTAGTAGTTTTGGGAATGACAGGGTCTTCAGGTGTTGACTTTCTTCTTTCCATCTTTAATACAAAGTTGATCCTCTGATCACTGAAGGATATTGGCATTGTCTTATATATTTTTAAAACCACATATTTTTCTGTTGTCAACATCCCTACAAACAGGCATGCTGTGTTCCCGGCCCAGGCACCAGATGCACCAGTGTGGTAAAGCTTTATCTGCCAGAGTTGCCCTTCTTAAAAGTCCTCTGGCTCTGACCTAGTGACACACAAACACACCCATACAATCCCCCTTCTGTTTGTGTCCTGCACCCTGAACCCTAGTAAAGGCACTTGCTTGTGGCTTCTGTCTCTCACTCCCACCTGCTTGATGGAGCTGCTCCTCCTATTTGGCTGCTACAAGGCATGCTGTGCTTACCTTTCCCGGGACATGAGCATCATAAATCCTTTAATTTCATATGCCTGAGTTTGATTTCCCCAGCCATGCTGGAGTCATAGTTCAAAGACCCACCAGGGGAACTTCCTTCCCCAGCACAATACAGGCACTTGCTAAGGCACCAATACTGCAGTTTTCATCACTCATTCTTAGGATTACTTCCTGCTGTTGGTGAATTAGAGTTGCCAAAGGAAACCTCTACAGAAGATAACCAAAAGCATCACAATCCTGGTGCCTCCAACTTAGGAAGGAAGAACCTGTTCAGAATGAGGTGGGAGGTTGTGAAAGAAGAGAAGTGGCCTTTTGGTCCAAAGATATGGAATCTGAGAAATGATTGTCACTGAGGCTCAGAGGACTTGAGAATGTTTTAGAAATTGAATTAGGGGCATAAAGTGGTTAATTCAGAGCTTGTTAAGCTTCATTTTATCTAGAAAGTCTATTTCTAGGGGCTGGGAGTGCATGTAACTCAGTAGTAGAGTGCTTGCCTAACATGCTTATTAATATTTAATAATATTTAATTGAACCCTGGGTTCAATTCCCAGCACTGCAAAAATCCATTTTGAAATCTATGACAGAAAAATGTTCCCAGAGAATGTGAATTGTGTTCCTCCTCAAGAGTACTTTTACAGTTTACCCAAGGCTGAGAGCACTCAGATACTTGCAGGGGAAAAAATGAGAAGGCAGCAGAAATAAACTAGTCCCTAATTGCAAGTAAGGATGATGGCAGGATCACAGTAGGTACATGTAATCAGCCATCACCCGAGGCTGAAAGTGCCACTGGCTCAGATCAACCCCCAGGTGATCCTACCAACACAGGGTTAGCATCAATGAATACAACTTCAAACTCTGTGGGTGGTGCTCATCTTAGCTCTTGTTTAATTTCAGTCAGATAATAAACATTTATAAATTCTTATACAACAAAACAAATACATGCAAAGTTACAAATATAGAAAATATAAAGTACATGCATATTTCAAAGACCAGTTAGTGGTGTCCACTTTGGATTCATATACAAAACTATTCAGTGCACGTTGTAAGCCTAAGGGCCACAAAAAAGGCTTTCCCACGTATTAAGTACTTAGTACCTCAGGAAACCATTAATGTGTTAGACATTTCTGATGTTAATTACTCTAAACAAAACTTCTAAATTTGTCATATGCAATATATATTTTATATATATATTTAACATTAAACACCCATATAGTGCAAGCCAATTACATTGTAGAATAGTAATATTTATCTGCTAGGCGACCATATTGAACAATTTAGGGAACAACTTTACCTTATCTAAATAACATTTACAGAATTTCCTTTTCCACTTAGAATGGATATTTCTGACATCTGCGACCTAAGACATTTTTTAGATTGTCTCCCTGTTCTTTGATTCAAAAGCCAATTACAGAAACTGAAGACTCAACCTAATCCTGGGTTTTAACAATTATGGGACAGAAATGAAGAAATGGAGCTCTTCTTTGTATGCTGACTGCGTTCTTTCACTTCACAATCCTCCAAGAGGATCATGGGTCTGCCCTTGCAGACTTCCTTGGAGTCCCATCTCCTGGCATCACCCAAACATGGTTAACATCACTCTAGTTTCCAGGAAACCAAGATTTACCTTCAGTATTTAGGAGGCAATCTTGCTGCCTTAGTTATCTACAATTTATTTACTAAAGAAAGGAATGCCACATTTGGATGCTCTACACATCCCAGAGGGGAGCTTGTCTCCAAAGGCACCATTCCCAAAGGCTGGATTTTTCAGTCCCAGAAGTCTTTTGCTTGTGTTAATTATGTCCAACCCCGGCAAATATGTCCTCTGGCAGGAGGTATAGGGTCACAATAATATTTACCGATTCAGCAACTGCTGTGTAGTCCCTACTGCAAAAAGCAAAATGTCACTGCAGCTCTCTGCAAAAACATAGCACATACTCCAGGGCTGAGCCTGTTGAAGATTTCTGGTGTTTTTTTTTTTTCTTTTTCTTTTGAATGAGTATCATGTGGCCCCTTCCAAAATTGGCAGAAATAATATCAAGTTTTCTTAAAAGAGAAAAGTTTTCCAAACTGCTATGAAATCATTGCTAAGCTGGGACATTCACGCCTTGAGCTCTGGCTACTAAAAGAGCCAGAGGTATTCAGGCAAAGGTATTTGAGGACCATTTTAAGATCTATTCTAGCCTTTATCTGTTGCAATAGACCAAAAATGAGCCTAGATTAACCAGTGATTATTTGCAGGCTCAGCATTAGCCTTGGTCCACGAAGGACTCAATCAATGGGCCCTTGAATAAACAGCATCCAAGTCTACTCTACATTTTTGGGTGCCCATCAGTGCCAAGGGTATAGCCTATGGGGGACAGAGAGAGAAGCAAAAATGAGACACCACCACTAAAAGGGCTGCAGGTGGATACCCCCTCCCAACCCTGGAGCAAGATAAAGACGACTTGGAAATAGGAAGTCCTTCCTCATCCCACAATCAGGAAAATGAGGAAGGAGATGAGGAGGATCACAGGTGGGGAGGAGAAGAGGAGCATGCTGGATCCTCTTGGGTAGTAAGCCTGTTGGGCCTCCTGCTTGTACTGGGTGGTGCACATCTGCTCCACCACACGCTCCATTATCTTAATATCGGTCTCGGTGAAGTTATCCCCTTTGGTGGTGGTGGTGGTTGTATGCTGCTTGATTGTGATATTGACACAGTCATGCACAAAGCTGTTCTGGTTGGGATACTGATCCACGGGCTTGTAGTACACTTGGCTGGGGTAACGGTTCATGTTTTCACGGTAGTAACGGTCCTCATAGTCATTGCCAAAGTGCATCATGGGCCTGCTCATGGCACTCCCCAGCATGTAGCCACCAAGGCCCCCTACCACTGCCCCGGCTGCAGCAGCACCTGCCACATGCTTCATGCTGGTTTTTGGCTTAACGGGCTTGCCCCATTGATTATGGGTGCCACCCTGACCCCAACCACCACCGTGGGGTTGTCCCCAGCCACCGCCACCATGGGGTTGCCCCCAGCCTCCACCACCATGAGGCTGCCCCCAGCCACCACCCTGAGGTGGGTAGCGGTTGCCTCCAGGGCTGCCTTGCCCAGGGTAACGGCTTCCTCCAGTGTTCCACCCTCCTCCAGGCTTTGGCCGTTTTTTGCAGAGGCCGACGTCACTCAATGTGGCCACGAAGAGAACCAGCAGCCAGCAGCCAGGGTTCACCATGATGACTGATCTGCAAAATGAAGAAGAGGGCATGGCGTGAGTGACCTACATTTACCCTGAAACCACCTAATGTTTGCTCATTATGAATGAAGGCACAGCAACGACAAACTCCTCACACCCTGAGCTTCTGGGAAGCACGCTGGATAAAAGCAATTGTAAGCAAAGGGCAACACAACTTATTCTCATTCTCTAAAGACAAATTTGACTTTAAGTTAATTTCAAGCTGTTTCCTGAAACTTGAAAGAGGCAGAATGCCAGCAGTGTTCCTTAGTATAAAAATGATTGCCAATTGGTAACCTGCATGTGTTCTGGGAGGAACTACTTACTCCCGGTGGGCTTACCATGGCTCTGAGCTTCTTTAGAGCAGTCAATCTAGGAAGTAGGCACATCCTCATAGGGACACTGGAAGCTGTGCCATCGGTCTGCTATAAGGGGCACCAGCTCCTGTGGGGCATGGGCCTTCTATATCCAGGGGAATCATTTACCCACCGATATGGATCTTATTCCCTTGAATCTGAACAGTCACTGGCAGGGGCTGGGGGTTTAGATAAGCCCCCAGCTGCTGTGTGGACATCAAAAGACCCTGGTGCATCCCCTTTGGAGTAACCTAAGGCCTGTGTAAGTTTATGAGTCTGGTTAGGAAGCTCCTCAGGTGGGTGTGGCAGGAATTAAGTAACTGGAAAACATAGGCCCAGTGTCTTATTTCCTCTGCAGGGATGTAGGCAGGGAGCAAGTGGCTCTTGTTTGTGGCTGTGTTCTTGGAGATTGGGGCAGTGCCTGGCACAGAGCAGGACACAATAGATACTTGTTAAGTGAAAGAATTAATATCCCCTGAACATACAAATGCCAAGAATAACTCCCTCAAAGGAATTCTAAGTACAATTTTACTAGAAATAGTAAATATCCAGGATTTTGCAAGCCCATTTGTAAATTCATCGCTCTCTCTATAGACAGACATCGCTCTCTCTATAGACAGACAGACAGGTGGGGCTGTTGACACTTGGGCAGTGTAAACAGAAGTGCAATCACTGAGTTTTATGTCAGTATTTAATGTTTTATGAATGATTTCTTTTCTTCCAATTTTTGGTAGGAAATAAATACTTTATATTATAAAAGCACAGTATATAAATCAACAGTGAACCAAACATCCTGGATCACAATTTATGACCCATTTTAGAATGTTTCTTCATCAAATTATAAATCTCATTTACTGAGAGCTAAGTTCCAAGAACAAAGGTAAAAGGCAGAGTAGAATGATTATTAAACAGGGTCTACTGTAGCCCAGATCAAATCATATCTTCAAGATATCACTGTGTGCCCCAAGATCTAAAATGGCATATACCATCTTGTTCCCAGTGCTGAGATTATCTTCAAATTAAAAAAAAAAAGATAAATTTTGTTTTAATATCCTGCAGAATTTACAACTAAACTGGATACTAGTCATGAGAATTATTAAGAAAAATAAATATAACTCATTTATTTGTTTATGCTTATGTTTCTACTAACATTAAAATTGGAAGTGCTGGTGGTCATAAGTAAATCAAAATATATTTGAAAATTACAAGCCAAATTAAAGTATTCAGATCTTACTAATTTGGATTTGGGGAGCCCCATTCCTGTTCCCACCCCACCCTCTGCAGGCCTCCTTCCCAGATCCACTCATCATCTCATGGGGTCCAGCTCTCGGCCTCCATGTTGCTCACACACCCCAGGGAACCATCTCCTCAGTTAACAGTTCACAGTCTGAAACGTTTTTAGGCCAACACCTTCCTTCTTTTACCCCAGTGAGCCAAACCCAGACTATACCTTGGGGTTATTCTTGAATTTTCTCTTTACAGCATACATCGACTCTATCAGCAAATCGACTCTATTAGCTCCACCTTGACAAGAATCCTAAGCCCTTGGCTTCTCACAAGTTCCAACATGACAGTCTTGGCTGAAGCCTCCATCACTTCTCACCTGAGTCCTTCCCAGCCTCCCATCTAACCTCCTTGCTTCTCCCTTGGCCCCTACTGCAGTTACATGGTGCCATTCCCTTGCCCTCAAGTGACACTCCTTTGGACTCAGGATAAAATGCAAAGTCCTGACCATGCCGGTTGGGTCACAGGGCCTGGCTCCACTGACCTCCTCTCCCCAGCCTCCTGCTGCTCCTCAAACCAACCAGCAAACCACTTTCTCTGTGCCTCTGCACTTGCTCCTGCTACTCAGGTGCTCAAGTCTGCCCAAATATCCTAGTGTTGCTCTCCACACCAACTGCCTGAAATAGCACCCCATCCTATCTCCTTTCTCTGTTTCAATTCCTTCCAGAGCTGTCAAGGCTACCAGACACACTATTTACTGTCGCTATTGTTCATCTTCTCCATTGGAGCAGAGGCTCCTCCGGGGCAGTGGCTTGGTTTGTTCACAGAATGTCCCTGGACTTGGCGCCTGATTCATAATAGATGCTGAACAAATGAAAGACCATAAAAACTGCCCTATATTGGAGTATAAGGACTAAGCAAACTATAAAGTATTGACAATGGCTATCTAAAGAGGATCATATTTATAAATTCACGAACCATTCTTTTCTCCAATGGCCAGCTGACAGCATCAATTCAATAAATCAAACATTTGTTTTATGTGCTGGCCACAGTGGCAGACTCCGGCTGGCTAGAGATATAGTATGACTGGAAATGGGAGGCGGCAGGAAGAGGAGGCTGCAGGGGAACCACACTGAGCTGGGCCTTGCATCCTATTTAAGGCTGTAAGAGTTAAATGTAGCTCAGTGGGGATGCAGCTCAGTGGTAGAGTGCTTTACTAGCATGCTGAGGCCCTGGGTTAAATCCCCAGTAGCACACACGTACACAGAAAGAGTTAGGGCTCTGTAAGCTCATGAAGACACAGGACCAGGCAATGATACCCACAGTGACAAAGGCACAGAGGAGAAAAACCAGGCACAGAGGTTTTCAGAATGGAGAAAGGTGGTGAGAGAGGGCCCTGGCAGGTCTGAGGCAGGCTCAGCAACTTAGCAAGACCCACAACAACTTAGAGAGACCCTGTCTTTAAACAAAGAGAGCTCAGCAGTTGAGTGTCCCTGGGTTCAATCCCCAGTACTACAACCAACCAACCAAACATATTGCCTCTTCCATTGCTCAAAGTGTCACAGTTCAGATGCTATATCTAAGGCCAGCTCTATATTGAAAATGAGAAGGGGAAACCAAAAGGAGGTTTTGAAAGGACAACAAATTACTGTATACTGTTTGTTTTACGAAGTAAAAATCTGTGTGAGATGGATGGCCTTCCCATTAAAATATAAATTACAAAAATCAACTTCGGAACTAACCCATTTGACATATATTTATGTAAAAATTAGTATATGCTATTTGTTTTAAGAAATAGAAGATGGGTGAAGTGGTACATGCCTGTAATCCCAGTAACTTAAGAAGCTGAAGTGGAAGGATCCCAAGTTTGAGGCCTCCCTGAGCAACTGAATGAGGCTGTCTCAAAAATAAAATAAAAAGGGCTGGGCAATGTGGCTTAACAGACAAGCACTGGCCTAGCATGTACAAGGCCCTGGATCCAATGCCTAGTACTGCAAAAAGGAAAAAGAAAAGGTGGTGGTGGGGGGGGTAAAACTAGAATTGACCAATAGGCAAAGAAAAATGGAGAAAAAGTGGTCAAAAATCATATATTATACTGGGCACTGGGGTACACATCTCTAATCCCAGTGACTCAGGATGCTGAGGCAGAGAATAGTAAATGTGAGGCCAACCTCAGCAACTTAGTGAGATCTTGTCTCAAAATATAAAAGAAAAAGGGCAGGGAACGTAGCTCAGTGATAAGAGCACCTGGGTTCAGTCTCCAGTATGGCAAAACAAAACAAAACAACAACAAACCCCAGAACATCAGCAGAACCATCCATCTATCTAGTAAAATAATGTTTATAGTACAGAAGCTTACTGACTCCTGCCATGGTTTGGATGTGGTTTGTCCCCCAAGGGTTCATGTGTTGGAGGCTTGATCCTCATTGTGGCAATGTTGGGAGGTAACAGAACCTTTAAGAGATGGGGACTAGTGAGAGGTCCTTAGGCCACTGGAGATGCTGCCCCCAGAAGGGATTAGGGGAACTCCTATGGGTATGGATTAGTTCTCTGGAGAGTGAGTTGCTTCTCACACACGTTCCTTCCACTGGGGGGGGGGCATCCACTATGAGGCTTTCACCAGAGCTAAGCTGATGATGCTGGGAGTACACCCTTCCACCTCTAGATTTGTAAGCTAAACAAACCTATTTTCTTTATAAGTCATCTAGCCTAGGGTATTTCATTATAGTAACAAAATGGAGCCATACAATGAGTTTCATACATATTTTGAATGTCTTCTAAGGTTGTAGAATTATCGAGGGGCCAAGGACACAATGATGAGTGAGATATTGAGCTTAGTGGGTTCCAAGACCAAAAAAGATATTGAGCATCTAGTCTTATGAAATAAGAGGAAAAGTGGACTGCTGAAATTGGAAAAGTGGGTAAAGATCTTAGAAGGAGAATAACACCAGAGAATTGTGTTTTCCAAAAAGCTCATCCTACTGTAGTATAAAGAAGAAGGTTTAGCAGGACAAAAAAGGAAATGGAGAGACCAGTTAGAAAATTACTGAAGGAAGATGGTGGCATGCCTGGGATGTAGTTGATGAGCTATTAATAAATGAGATACATTTTGCAGAAAGAACCCATAAGACCTGCTGATAGAGCAGACAGAGGAATGAGAGTTGCCCAGGCTTGTGGCTTTCATAACCTGTGATATGGTGGTGATACCATCTCTGAAATAGGAGAAACCAGAGGAACACCAGAGCTGAGCAAACCTAACCATGAGTATTAGTTTAGACACATAAACTTTGCCTTATCTGTAAGATATTCAAGTGGGAGGATCAAGTGAGAAAGAGAGTCAGGCAATTGTTTAAAGAATCTCGAAAGGAGGAGAGAGAAACATTTGGACATATTTACCTGAGACACAGGGTTTATAACCAATAGGATAAAGGGACAAGATTAAAATTATTGCTGGGCTAGGTGGCCCAAACTGTAATCCCAACAACCTTCAGGAGGCTAAGAAAGGAGGGTCACATGTCTGAGGCCAGCCTGGACAATTTAGTGAGACCCTGTCTCAAAATAAAATTTGAAAAGACCTGTAGCTCAATGGTAGAGCACTTGTGTACCATGTTGAGGTCCTGGGCTCAATCTCCACTACTGTGCGCATGCGTGCATGAGAGAGCAAGACAGAGAGCGAGAGAGCGAGAGAGCGAGAGAGAGAGAGAGAGAGAGAGAGAGAAAAAGATTCAATCCCTAGTATGAAGGCTGGCATTCAGCTACACAGCCTCCCCTCCAGTAATAGGGATATTTTCACATCCATGGAAAAGACTATCAAACTAATTTTAATAGTTTAGTAAAAGAAGAATACACTGTGAACAGTAAGGATTATTTTAGGAATAAAAGAATGTCTCAAAATCAGGAAATCTTAATAGATCTTAACAGCTCAAGAAAGAAAAACAAAAGAAACCCAAATTTTCTGCAGATGTCAAAAAAGGTTTTCAATTAAATCAATATCTATTCCTGACTTTAAAGAAAAGTTTAAGCTATTTTTTAAAAAGTTTGTATAGAAACCCCATGTGGTGGTACATGTCGGTCATCCCAGCAACTCCGGAGGCTGAGGCAGGAGGATCATAAGTTTGAGGTCAGCCTCAGCAAATAAGTGAGGACCTCAGCAACATCATGAGACCCTGTTTCAAAATAAATAAAAATGTGGCTCAATGATAAAGCACCCCTGGGTTCAGTTCCCACTACTGTAAAAAGAAAAAAAGAAAGTATGTATGGGGGGTGGAGATGTAGCTCAGGGGTAGAGTATGTCCCTAGCACATGCAGGCTTTGGGTTCCATCTCAAGTGCACGCACACACATAATTGTATAGAACCAGAAGGCTAGCACCTTTCCATCAAGAGAGGCTATCACAAACACAAAGCTCATATCCTGTTCTAATTGGTTTTTTTCCTTTAAAAAAAGGGCGGGGGAGGCATTTGCATTAATGTGGCAAACAAGACAATAATGCAACCTATCGCTGTTAATATTTTAGATTGTTCTGGAAATTCATATAGGTATGATTTTCTATCTGAAAATCCATGAAAATCATCTAAATGGTCTTACAATAAACGAGTGAGTTCGTTAGATAGCAGTTTTTGAAATCAGCATAGAAAACACCAGCGAGTCCCTAAATCTCCTGTACTTATTTGGAAGATTTAGTGGGGAAAACATTCCATTCATAACGGCAATAAATATTTCAAAATACCTATGATTTAACTTCAAAATAAATAGTAGGATTTATATGAGGAAAGCTGTGCAGCCCTGGGTTCCCCAGCACTGAATAAAACAAAAAGGATCAATAAAATTTGGAATGAGCAGAAAATGCAGAATGCATTTGGTTTGCCAGGTATCAGAATGCAAAGATACAGTGAGATCAGATGGCACTGGTTATAAGAGCAGATTGGCAGGGTTATGGAACCAGAGAGAAGATATGAAAAGATTCATAAATTATTCCACTGATTCTATTCTTATTTTAATTTTAAAAATTAATTAATTTGTTTTGGTATTGGGGATTTAACCCCGGGACATTCTACCACTGAGCTACACCCCCAGCCTTTTAAAATTTTTTACTTTGAGAAAGGAGTCTCATTAAGTTGTTGAGGGTCTTGCTAAATTGCTGAGGCTAGCCTCAAACTTGTGATCCTCCTACCTCAGCCTTCCTATTCATTGGGATTAGTTGTATACACCACTGCACCCAGCTTATTCTCATTTATTGATGGGGACTGGGCCAGAGTTGGAAAGAACTTGTCTCAAGGTCATAATAATCCAAGACAATGGGGCTGAGATCAAAATTTAGTGGTCTTAATGGCCTTCAATACCATTAAGGAAGTGTGTCATTGGTCAAACTTCTGATAAATCAGAATAACACGTAACAACCTCAAGTTTAATTGGCTCAGGAAGTGGGGAGAATAAACAGCATTCCCATTCCTCATTGTCCTTAAGGAAACTTCCTGTTCTTTCTTGAGTTAAATAGAAATAACAGGTCACATTTTTTTAAGGTTCTAAAGTCACTGATCCTTAAATTTGATGCAAGCCATACAAAATTTTGGAAAAAAAATTAGGTTTTTTTTTTGTTTTTTTTTTTTTTACTGGAACCTTGAGATCCAGCTCTGTATTAAGTAGGACAAAGGGCCCCCACCTGGTCCATCATCAGAATTACTTGAAGAACAGCCAGACTCAGTGGTGCATGCCTAAAATCTCAACAGCTTGGGAGGTTGAGGCAAGAGGATCCCGAGTTCAAGGCCAGCCTCAGCAAATCAGTGAGGCCCTAAGCAACTTAGTGCCAATTTGATGCAGAGATTTTTTTTTTTTTAAGACCCCATCTCAAAAAGAGGTGGGGGGCCTGGGGATGTGGCTCAATGGTTAAGCACCTCAGGTTCAATAAGAGTTACCCCTCCCCCCCCCAAAAATTACTAAAATCACTTAAGGAACAAGATTGCCACAACCCCAAGAGTTCTAGCAATAGAATTTCAGAAGCTTCCTAGGAAACTGGCATTCCTAGCCAGGCTTGCAGTTAGGTCCTCAGGAATGCAACACTTAACCTTATAATACTTTTCTTCCTAAAAGGGGCATGTCTCCCTTGAAGTGATCATACAGTACTATGGCTGCAGGAAGAAGAATATAGTAGGACAATAGGATTAACAAACTGAGACAGAAACTCTCCCAACTGTAAGAATTGCTGCATACACTCTTCACTTAGGGTTATTTTATAATGCTGCAGCCATCCCCAGGTTAGATACAGACATGTGCTGAATGTTTAATATGCAGTTCACAGCTGATATAGTTGCCTTGGAATTAGAAATAAGATCTGAAAAAGGAGAATGGACTATGTAAGTTAAAACTGTAGTTGAGAAAAACCTTCGCCTTGGCTTTCTCCGTTGGTTGAGAGTCCTATTAGTGCCAATTTGATGCAGAGATGTTCATTTTATTGTTGTGCTTTTTATTATGTTATCTTAAAAATACTTGTTCCCTTACACAATTCAGCATAATTCTAAAGAAAGCTATGGTGGTTCTTGCTCAACGAAATCAAGCTGACTTTACGTGAAACAATAATGCAATGAGGTGCAAGATAAACATTACCAAATGGCCTCTAGAGCAAGGGCTTGTGATTATAGACTGGGATTTGCTGTGACAGTTGGTGACTTTCAACCATTACAAGACAAAAGAGATTTTACAGGGTACAATCTGTTGTGACTCACCTAAACTGGACTGGTGCCTCTGTGAACACAGAATGCTTCGGCTTGGCTGAAATTGTTCAGTTTGAGGTATATTCAGGAGTCTTTAAAAACAACAACGAAAAACTAGAATTGATAAATGAGTCCAAGAAGTGATTCCTAAAAAGAAAAACCTAATACACAGATTACTAAACCAGTAACACATCTACGTGAGGAAAAAATGAAGTAGCATTTGAGAAAGGAAACAAGGTCAGCTAAAATGTTTTATTCTAAGAAGCAAACATGAAATGATCTCTCCCTCTTTTTCCAACACACAGAAAACTGTGGGTCCATTTTAGAATCTGAAACCGAGTCAGGTGCGGTAGCTCTCACTTGCAATCCCAGTTATTTGTGAGGCTGAGGCAAGAGGATTGCAAAGTCAAGGCCACCTGGGCAACTCATTGAGAGCCTATTTCAAAATAAAATTATTTTAAAAAAGGAGGGAGGTACTGGGAATGTAGCTCAGAGGTAGGCTACTCCTAGATTCAATATCCAAGACCACACAAACAAACCAAAAACCTGTCCCGGGTTCAATAACATTAGTTAGTGAAAGCAATATATCAACAACAACAAAAAATTAGAATCATGTATAATTTCTTTTGGCGCTTTCATTTTCTATGCTTTCCCTTTTATATTTTTACCTATGTATTCATGCATGAGCTCCTGGCCCCATCTATCACTGGCTCCAAATCAAGATTTTTGATAGTTACATAATGTTCCTTTCAGTTAATGTGTCATTTTTCTTAGCTGTCCTGATGTTACACATTTTGGTTGCTTCTCAGGTGGTTTTAATTTTAGATCCTTCTGCTTGGAATAGGTGCCTGCATGTTTTTTTTTTTTTTCCCTTGTTTGTTTCTTCCATTGCAGGTAAATTCCCAGGAATTTCTGGGTCACAGCTTCCAACTAATGCATCTTCACATTGTTTTATAAAAGGTCTGTATTGATTCACACTGTCTCCAGTGGGTGTGACTAGGAAACAGAACAAAGTATGGGTACCAAAGGTCAGTTTTCAGCAGATGGTTAATCTCTGTAACTGTGCCTGGAAGAACATCATTTTCTCCTTTTTATGAATGGGCAAAGGAGGGTCAGGAAATCAGGTAACCTGCCCAAAGTCACAAAGTGGGTTGCAAAGCCATATTTCTAACCAGAAAGCCCTGCCACTTGCCCGGATGTCTGAATAGTCAAAAGTTTCAGGCAGCCTTCCAGCAACAGGGCTTGCCGTCACTGTTGTCTTTAACAGATGTAAAATGGTAACCTAAATTTGCTTCAATTTGCATTTTATTATGTAAATGACTCATCATTTCACTATGTATCTACTATAACCCTGATATTTTCTTTTCACAAGTATAGAAAGCTTGTGTCAGGTACAAATAACATACAAATTCCATTCTAGCTACCCTGCTTCCTTTCCGATTCTGGTTTTTGAGAGCTTCTCAGTATTTGTGTAGATAAAATCATTCCTTTTCCTTGATGACATTTTTTTTTTTTTCAAATCTGGGAGAACAGTTAATTTTTCTAAACGTCTGAAATTTATTCAATTTTCTGTTCCTATTTTTCAGATGACTAAAATTTATACAAATATTTAATTCTATCTGGAGTTTTGTAAATCTGTCTGGAGTTATGTATAAGGAAAAGAGGAACACCTCAAATGTTCAGCACATGGGGAACTGTTTATTAAGCCATGATACTATAACTACAAGAAAATTAAGCAGCCATGAAATTGCATTTCACTGTGCATGACACTGAAAAATAGAAAGCAGTTGGCTTTCCGATGATGAGGATGGGATGTGATGGCCATGGAATTACGCGGTAAAAATTATGTTTGCTGGTCTACTACAGAGATGAAGGAAAAAAAAAATCAAAGGGACAGTACAAATGAATCCCCCGCCCCCCACACTGTTTCATAACGAAAGGAAACGTGAAGGAGTCTGCTTCTCAGGTGGCAGAGGCTGGTTATCCGCGGGCCACGGGCTCCTCCCTTGTAGCCCCACGGATGGCCCAGTTCTGTCCCTTCTGAAGAGCAGGAGAGAATGTAAAAAACGATGCTGAAGGTCCGCTGTGGGGGTAGGACGGAGAGCCCAGTCCCCAAAGCCGAAAGCCGGGCTGCAGACCCCCAACCCCAGGAACCCGGGCGACGCCGGCTTTGCAAATGAAGGGCGGAGCCTATACGAGGCCCCGCCCCCGCGCGCGTGGCTGGGTCCCCAGGAGGATGCCAAAGGGGCGGGGCTGCGGCCTCCCCTGGTACAGTCTCGGTGGCCAGAAATGGGGGGCGCCGCGGACTCCCGGGGGGCGCTCAACGGCTGGGGAGCAAGGCCGGGAGCAGGCGCTCACGTACCCAGTCTCCTCACTACCCTCTGGGCATCGGGGAGCGGTCCGTCCTGGCCAAGGGGCATCCTGGCGTCTGCCCTCCGGCTCCGAAGGAGACTAACTGGCAAGGAGTCAAGAGCTCCGCGTCCCCCTGGGGCCTGGCCTCTCCGAACGTTTGCGGCCCTCCCCGTTTTCCCTGTAACTGAATTGAATTGTCTCTATCCCTCCCTACTTCCCCAGCGGCCCGAGGGTCGCGCGTCTCGCCCATCCCGCAGCCGGGTGGGGTGGGGGAAGCGATCCGGCAGACACCTCTGTACCACCAACGTCCCTCCACAGGGGCTCCGCCAGCCCCCTCTCCCATTCCGAAAAAAAGGGGGGCTTTCCTAAACCGAAAAGCCAAGCCAAGCAGATTCATCCGAAGAGACAAACACAGGGCAGGCCTCAGACGCGCCACGCGCGCCCCGGGCGCCCCAGCCCCTTCCCACCGCCAGGGTCCGCCGGGGACCTGCCCCAGCTGTGCGCCCTCGCGCCTCGACCCCAAGGCCCGGGGCCTCACTCTCGGCCTTCGCGGCTCCCCCGCCGGAGTTTCTAGGATCCCGCCCCCGGCCGCGCTGGGTGTTTACCTGCCTCGGAAGCCCGGAGAGAAGCTCGCAGCGTCGCGACTGTCAGCAACTGGCGCAGGGAGCTGGCAACGCGCAGGGCGCAGGCGGGGCGGGGGCGCCAGCGGGTGGAGGTCCGTGCGGGGACCAATTACCTCGCCGCCCAGCCCACGCTCCCTGGCTCTGGGCGGGCGTCCCGCTTTACCTTAAAGGGTGCCGGACTCCAGAGCAGGGCGGGGAATGAGTCACCATATAAAACGTGTTGAGATTCGCTTAAACACTTGCATCAGGTGGTACGCCTCCTGGTGTCATCGCTTCCTGACGTTGCTCATTGACTATAAAAAAAAATATCTTTAATGATTCGGCAGCTCTCCGTTATATAATGGAAACTCGAGAATATGAAAGGTTTACATACAGAATGAGAAAGCAATCTCTGGAATTTTGGGTAACCAGAAATTTCTAAAAAGGATAATTGGCTAACCTGGATTAAGCCCCAAATTTATATGTTTTATATAAATCCTTAAAATTTGAGACCTGGAAAGGACATTGGCCATTACTTTCCCCCACCCCCCACTTCACTTTCTGCTCCTCACATACAAAGGGGATGATATAGATTATGACATTGACAGAGAGGAAAAACATGTAATACATTTAACAAGTCTGCACATGACCTGAGGCAGTTTATATGATGCAAAAGGTATGTTCTTGCTCAAGATTCCTGCTGAAAAATTAGATGCCGTTGCTGAGCTGCAGGTTTGTAATCCCAGCTACTCAGGAGGCTGAGGTAGGTTTGCAAGTTCCAATGGTAGCCTGGGCAGCTTAGCCAGACCCTGTCTTACAATATAAAATTAAAAGTGCTGGGGATGTAGCTCTGTGGTAGAGGAACCCTGAGTTCAATACCCAATACAGGAAAATTTAAATTTAAATTTAAATTAAAAATAAAAAGAGGAAAGGAGATATGGGTTGTCTTATTTGAAGGAGGGCCAGGCTTAAAGTGAAAGGACAGGGTTAGTTGGGCAGGCCATATAAACTGTTGCTTACATTGAGGCACTTTTGAACAGGAAAGGGGCATAAACTAGGACTATTCTGGGAAAAACAGGACATCTAGGCTCTCATTATGGGCAAGAGGCTTACAAAAAGTTTAAGAGGTTTAAGAACAACAGGGGGAAAAAAAGAGGTTTAAGAACATTAAGGCACCCACTTAAAATAGGATTTGGATTAATATTTGTTATCTCAGGAGCCATCACTCAAGTGGGAAGAAATGAGTGGTGAGGGAAGGAAGGCGCCAGGAGAACTGTAGCTTTGATGTGAAAGGGTGTGTGTGTCTGCTTGATATTTAGGTGAAGGTAGGTGGGCACCATACAGGTCTGCTGGGAAGGGGAAATGAGAGGGCTGGAAATATGGCCTTGGGATAGAGATAATTCAGTAACAGGGAAAACGGGATTGTGGCCAGTTAGAAGTAAGCCTTAGGAGAAGGAGTAGTGGCTCCTGCCTATAATCCCAGCTATTGGGGAGCTAAGACAGGAGGATGCAAGTTCGAGGCCACTTTGGGCAAAATACAAAAATAAAGTTCTGGGCATATAGTTCAGTGGTAAAGTGCCTGTGTAGCATATGCAAGGTCCGGGCTTCAATCACCAGTAAAAAAAATAATAATAATAACAGAAAAAAGAAATGAGCATTTGGCAGCAGTGCAGATGGTTGTTTGACATCCAAATTGTCTTCTTGGGTGATTGACAATACTTTTAGGGCCTTACCTTCTTCTGGATGAACAGATCAGACTGGGCAAGTGGATGGCTTCCCCCTGGCAGAAGGGGCTCTAGAAAGCTTGGTTATTAGGAGGACCCCAAAACCTAGCCTTTTCTCAAAAGAATCATGAATCTACTGGCTGACTGTTCTTTTCTCTCCAGGAAATGGCTCAAAATGCAAAACATTTCTCTCTCTCTCTCTCTCTCTCTCTCTCTCTCTCTCTCTCTCTCTGATGAATTAGGGAACCAAAGGGATCGACTGCATTGTATACTATTCTTAGCAGCTACCCCAGAACTTAGTGGTTTAAAAGAACCACCATTTTATTGTGCCCATGGATTGTGCAGACAAGGAGAAGCACAGTAGGGACTTGCTTCTGCCTCATGATAGCTGGGGTCTCAGTTGTGAAGACTCCAAGTTTGGAAACGCCTGGATAGCTAAGGGTTGGAATCATCAGAAAGCTCATTCACTGTGGGAGTGGCACTGGGGTGCTTGTGTGTGCTCTGTGTGCTCCGTGTGTTCTGGTGTCCTTATAGCATGGCATTCTTGGCTTAGATGTAGTTCTTACATGGTGGCTCAGGACTCCAAGCATGAGTGTTTCAGTAAATAAGATGGAAGCAACATTGCCACTTCCCACCCAGACTTGAAAGTCACAGAGCATCACTTCAACTGTATGCTATTGACCAGAATTGTCACAAATCAACCCAAATTCAAGGGGAGGACACATGGACCCCCACCTCCTGATGGGAGGAGTATCAAAGAATCTGTGGCTACTTAAAAAAAATCTGCCTTGTGCCAGATTCAGTAATGTACACCTGCAATCTCAGTGATTGGGGAGGCTGAAATACAAGATTGAGGACAGCCTCAGTGACTTTAGTGA